TTCGGAAAATTTCCACATAAGCTAGTGCGCCTTTCTCGGTTCTAAACGATCTTCAAACTTACCATGAGTGGACTAAGTTTAGCCATTGAATAAAACACTATTTTTAATGGGCGAACGGACGGACGGACAAAGTGGTCACACTAGGTGTACTGTAGGTGCAAATAAAAAGTTGACTCAGTGCACGCATATTAATTTTCTCACATATACAGGGTGTTCAGCAAGAAATGGGACAGCGCCATACCTCGAGAACGAAAGTTCTTAAATTAAATGCGCCACCTCCAGGTGGCGCTACCTAACATAATTCTTTTAAATGTAATAGCCTACTTTTCATTAAATTTTTGAAATTTGCAACACATTTGTGATAACTTTATTTAGAAGTGCCACCAACCTACCTCGTTTACTTTTCGGGAAATTAATAATTTTTATAAATTTAACATGTACTTACATATCTAGGTGCCTACATATAAGTGCCTAAAAAATCGAATGAATGTCAATTCAATGATTGTATTCTGAAGATATATAATACAGATACAGCATTTAGTATGTATGTATAGGCACCTTAGGTACATGTTAAATTTATAATAATTATTATTTTCCCGAACAGTAAACGAAATAGATTAGTAGAACCATAATAGTATACTGTGGTAAAACTTGTAAAGCTAAGTTCTCACAAATATGTAGTGCATTACAAAAATTTAAAATTTTAAAGAATTAAGTTAGGTAATGCCACCTAGCGATGGTCCTAGCTTGCATATACAATAAGTTTTGCAAATTGTTTAAACGAAAGAGCCTCTTGTATTGTATTTGATAAAGCAATGTATCCGACCTCTATACTGGATAAAGTAACTGTTACCTGACGTTTACTTGCCCAAGAAACTGCACAACTACTGATTTTAATAGATATTTACATAAAAGCTAGGAAAATAACACCTTACTGGCAAGGAAATATTAAATGTACGAGGCCCTTTGGGGTCGAGTCAGGGGTCGAGTACTTTAATTTCCGAGTCAAGTAGTATCATTTTACTGACGAGTATTGTATTAAATTTTAAAATTAAACTTTTCTTTGGAAATTTTTGAACTGTTTGCTGCCCTTTGAGGGAATCCAGCAAACACTTTACGTTTAAAAACGGTCTTAAAGCACTTTGAAAGGGCAAATTCGGTATTGGTAGTAAGGCATACGTTTTTGTGTAGACCGATTTTATACCTATGTTTAAAATACGATTTTTATTCATATATATGTTACCGGCAAACTGCGAAATCCGGAATTTTGCAAAATGCCTAGGCATTTCGCGAAATGACGAATGCAACAGGCAAAGTAAGAAACGGAGCTGCAGTTCACACTTTGCCTGTCTCTCTTTAGGGATTTCGCGAAATGCCTAGACATGCAGGCAAAGTGCGAAGGCTTCGTCATTTCCCACAGATTGCGCATACAGCGTTGCCATTGGATGGTAAACGACGCGACGATTGCGATTTAATTTAAGTACTCGCTAAATATTGCGCTCACGTTTAGACTGCATTTCTTCTATGGGTTTTCTGTTGAGTTACGCTTTGGATTTACTGTGGAGAATATATCAAATGCGGGAAGGTACTAACGCGACGGTTTTACGTTTGGCATAGCTGCACGCGCAATCTGTGGAAAATAACAGAGAATTCTCACTTTGCCTGAATTTTTAGGCATTTCGCGAAATCCCTAAAGAGAGGCAGGCGAGGTGCGAAGTCGAGTTCCATTTCTCACTTTGCCTGCTGCATTGGTCATTTCGCAAAGTGCCTAGGGATTTTGCAAAATTCCGGATTTCGCAGTTTGCCGGTAACATATATATATAAAACCATAGAGTTCACTTTGTACGTTGATAATACGTACCGTTTTTAGCATTCGTTTTATCATAGTGTAAGTACACTATGACTTTATAAACTTTAATATACGCATATAAGTCGTATGTCAATGGGAAATAATAAACGCATAATATTCCTACAAGAATACAGCGACATCCACCGGACATTTATGCGTATTATATACGTAGGGTTTTAGTCTACAATAAATGCTTTTTATACGGAACTGTGGTTTTCCATAGAGTAATCAATTACTGAACCACCTTTTAAATGATTCATACCAACCAAACCAATCGTCATTGTTGGTGGAGTTAGAGTCATTAGAAGCACTGCAAGATCAAGATCTTCTCCAACAACAGCGACCACACTGGATTGTCTGCAGCTTTAGCAATTGCAGTGAGTATAATTGTACAGTAAGCATCTATAGCATTTAAATATAAATCCCACTTCCTGGACACCCTATAGAAATTTACATTTATTCAAATTTTCCGATTTTCCGAATTGAAAAATAATAAATGAGGACATGTGCGAGCGCAGAATTTCTCAAGCTATTGACAATTTTGGTGTAAATTAATTAGAAGAGAAAACATTTGAGTATAAAGATCTTCGCATTGAAATCCCTATGAGGCGTAAACTGTTTGAACACCCCAGATGGATAATGCAAGCAAAACGTTTTTATACCGTGTCAAGTTAGCCTCCCGCTTTTGGAATTTTCAGAATATTTTTTTTGCATTCGTTTGTTGGTGTTTGTTAGATACATTTTGACGTTTGTTGGTTGACCGTTATTTAATTATTAAAATTTCAAAATTTGGGCGTATAGTTAACACCCCACTTTTTGAATTTTCAAAATATTTTAATTGCAATCGTTTGTTTGTCGCTGTTGGTTAGTTACACTTTCAAGTTTGTTGGTTGATCGTTATTGAATTATTCAAAATTCAAAAATTTGGGCGTATAGTTAGCCCCCCCAAGTTGAAATATTTCATTTTTTAGTTGTAATCGTTTGTTGGTGGTGTGGGTTTGTTCGGTATTCTCTTAGATCTCGATAGTTTTTGAGAGATTGAGGAAAAACGAAAAAAAAGGACCTAAAATTAATAATGGCGGCATGCTGCGCACCACTTCACATATGGGGTTTATGGATGTGCTCAAAAGGAAGGTGCAAATAACGTTTTAGCCAAATTTCAAAACTATAAGTTTTTTAAAATTTTTATTTAACCATAGATTGGTTGTGCTATAAAGCGGCTAAGTGTTGTACGGATTAAATGATCTCAACTTGTTATATACATATATTCCATTAGGTCTGCATACAGTTTTTTTTACAATTTAATTAATTTTTTATTATTCCCTTCTTTGTTCTAATTTATTTTTTTAACTCTGTGCTTTGTACATAGTTTCTTCAATTTTATTTAGTTTCCCTAAATTTCTTCTCCATTCGTTTTATATTATTCACTTACAAATTATTCGCTTATTTCAATAAAAATTTCACCTACACAGTTTATTATTTTTTATTTTCTAATTTGCATTTTAAATCAAATTCTTCTCTTTCTTCCTGACTTAATCCTTCCATCAATCTTTTACCTTATCTCGGAATTTTTTGCCAATTCACTGGCCACCTGAACTGTAATTTGTTCATACATTACATCTTCAATTTTAATAGTTTTCCTCATCATTTACATATGAAAGCTGTCTCGGAACTTCAGTGGATTAATGTTTTCTACGCGTTCCATGTGGTTTTCATAAAAAGCATTCTGCTGTTGAAGAGGTAACCTTGTCAAAATGCTGTAATTTATTATAAATTGCATCCATTGCTGTTTGCGACTTTTACTTTCAATCCTTTCTGTTTTTGTTGTATAATGTTAAATTTTTTTCGATAACTCTCCGGCCATCAAATGTATTGTATAATCCCAGTTTTAGATCTAAACGATTTATTTAAACAAGTTTCCGTTTCAGTAAAAGCCCTGATTTCTTGGTCAGAGTTGGAAATCCTTGTTAGAGGATATTCGGGTTGTTAATTACATATTAAGAATCAATTACATTAAAAGAAAAACGTTAAAATGTTATTCTTTTACATATTATTTATAAACCCTTAAAATGAAAAATAGTATAAATTCTAACAAAAATTAACCCTTTTGGAGAAATAGAGGAAGTGCACTTACCTGAATCGCGACAGGTCCTTTATCCTCAAAAATAATACATTCAAATTTATTCAAACCCCCAAGATCACAGTCTTTGACGCTTCCATCATCTAATGGACGTCAACGTACAATGGGCGCTAATTATCATTGCCCAATTTTCATAATATACGATTTATTAAATTTGAATAGAAAAAAGTTTGCCTATAATAAACGGCTGTTTATCTAATTATAGGTTTACCACGATTTTGTGTACCACCTCAAACTCTAATAGTTGAATTAAGTCATTATAGCGAACTGTCAGTCAATTATTTTGTAGTTACTCCATTTTTTCAGCTACTTCACCTGTACTTCGCTTACGAATTTAGCGATTTTGTTAATTTAATTTACGATGATCTTTTAAGTTATAATTTTAAATTTAAAAAAACATATCATCATAAGTTATTCTTGTCGTTGGGCGAGCAACTATAACAGATGTAAAAAACGTTACAAACTTTGGTAGTAATCTTAGACACGCATGGTTAAGTGACCATAAAAAGTGGCTTGATGTTTATGTGAATAATTAAATAATTTAGATTGTCACTAGAGTTTGCCGCGCCAAAAGCGCTTTTTTTTCAGGCTGCGAGATAGCTAATTAGTACCTTGTATCGCGTTACGTAATCGCTAAATATTCTAGCATTGGTACGTGGAAGATTAATGAAACTGTTCTTATAAATCTTCGAAAACAATGACTGGCGTGAATTGCTAAACGTCGGCAAAATGAAGATATCGACTTTTGATTTCATTAACCAGTTCGCAAGTCACACCAGCCTTTTAATCGGCAGATGCTTCAAGAACAGTTACATTTAATAAACGCATTCTTGCCATTGTTATACAATAGTGATGAGTCGTTAGCTTGCATTTTCATGTACCGACAAAGAACAAAATTGAAAGTTTTTGCACACCTTACACACTAAATGTTGCCTATCGTACAATCCTAGTCGGATTACGTCCACTGAATTTATTGCAAGAAAGGAATGCGTCTAATTAATTAAGCTGGAGGAATTCTTCTGACGTATATTTCTTTGGTCATTTACACAAGGTTTGTGTTTTTACAGCTCAGAATTTCCATTAATACGTATGGTAAGGTTCAGAGCCGCATTTTCTGAAAAGTTCCTTCCAGAAATCTCGATCTGCCCTTTCGGGTGCTTGGCCGATTGTCAGATCTTTGTTGATGTCCAAAAAAGACTCTTCCTCGTCAAATTTCGGCCAAGTAACGTTTTGAAGTAGAGGATCCGAGTACGGCGTCGGATTGCCGGTTGTAACGAAATTGGTCCAAATCGTCACCAGTCGCTTACGAATCAAGTCATCTAAGGGAGTTCTAACGTTAGTCCATCTATTTCGGACATAAAATAAGTACAATATGTCTTCATAGTGGCCAACCCCACCTGAAATGTGAACTACCAGAGGTTTGCGTTCAAGTCTTACTACTCACCATGGTAGGACATTGGTCTGCTTCCGTTATAAGAAAGTATGTAGTAGTATACGTCGGCTTTCTTCGCCAAAAGTTGTGCAGTTTTTGCAATTCCTCTAGTAAACAAATCTTGACTCATGTACTAAACTACTATTAAAAACTGCGTAAGTGAATACCTTTACCTACCTTTGTCCAACTGAAAGGGTCAGTTACGGTCTTGTTGTGAAAATAAAACGTTTTCACCTCGTCCAAGGTTTTTTTAGAACATGCTGAATCGCGTGGGATGTTCATTGATGATGGAATTAGGATTTCCGGCGATGTTTCGTACAAGTGAAGATTAGTAGTCCCGGAGTGAATATCTAAGTTTAGGAATAAACTACAATTATTAATTTACAGGCAAATACTGAACTCAATCTTGGTTCAAAAACAGGAGAGTGCCGGCAATATGGCTCCTGAGAGTCGAATGTCACAATCAGTAGTCAGATGGAATATTTACCCTCTTATACACGAGGTGCATAAAGCGGAGGGGTGCTTTTGAGAAACGAATTTTTACCTCATGCAGTTGGAATATCCTTTCCACGTTCCCAGACACGGATGGTCGTGCAACAAAAATAGGAAAATGTGATAGTTTCTGTTAAAAGAAAAATGTGTGTCCACTACTCTAAGATCTAATGTGACTTTATACAAAATCCATCTTCACAGGACCATAGCGGGAGCTACCGTTACTGGACATTCACGTTACAACCAAAAAGAGAGATGGAGCAGGGGAATATCAGGGTTCGCCTTTTCCATTAAGAAGTTTGTGTAATCAGTAATCGCACAATATAGCTTAAAGAAAATATAGCGCAAAAGGTGGTGGAATAAATAGGGAAGTGTGAAAACAAAGGGGTTAATAATGTAGGTTGGGCAAAAAGAAAGCGAGAAGAAAATGATATTAGAAAATACACGAAAGAATTAATAATAAAAGTATATCGAGACAGAACGATGCAACAAGCATAAGGATAAAGAAGAAAGTGTGAAAACAAAGGATACTAGACAAATTGAAAATAAAATTTCGTAAGTGATAAAAGAGTGAAGGAAGTGTGAAGAAACATACTTGAAGAAAGCATGCGTTAAGGAATAAGTCGTGAACAGACTAGATATGGGTGAACCAAACGTGATAGACCCGTGAAGGAGGCGTGGCAGCGTTGTGAAAGAAACTTGAGGGAGTATCGAATGGTCAGTAAAGGGGTAAAGGGGTTCTGTGGCGAGGCAGATGAAACTACCGAGCATGTGGTCTGTCACTGTGACGCTTTGATCAGGGACAGGACAGATATCAACTCCTTGGAGACAGATATCTGGAACCGAGGAGGGTGAAGCAACTTAGGCTAAACAGGGTCCTATCCTTCATTGAGAGGAACGGGCTCTGAACTCAGTTGCGAAGAAAGGGGGTAGGTAAAATGGGCCTCTGATGTGCCTAAGTGCTGCCCGGTCGGGCTCCCCTGAGAATAGAATAGAATAGAAAGGGGTAAAGAGAAGTGTAAAAAAGCGAGACAAATAAAAGAAAAAGGCACAAAGCCCTTGTGTTATAAGCAAAACAAGGATGCAAAAAGTGACCCGTGTAATAAAAAAAATGAAAAGTTTTCGCCTTAAGGCGAGTAACATTAGCCCATATCCATAAATTAATCAGCACCTACGTCCCAAAATGTCATATGACGGACTATTTATATGTAAAAAGAAAAAGTTAAGGGTAAATATACAAGAAACTTTCGCAGTATGCGCATGAGGAAATTAATTGTCAAGATTTTCCTTGGCTCAGGTGCCAGATCAGTAAGCTACCGAATTCAAAAAGAACAAACTAATTATCTTGAAAACTATAGGAGTAGTTAAGGCCTCGGGCGGACGGACGAACGGACGGACAAAGTGGCCATAATAGCACCTTTCAGCATAAGTTCGAAAATGCACGAAAAAGGCGTTCCCAACGCGGGGGGTTTCCTATGAAAGTGAAGACGTGAATGGGTGTAAAGAAAATTGAAGAAGAATGAAGAGTTTAGGGGGGCAGATACCTTAAAGAAGGCGCATAGGAGATGCGACCGAATCGTCCAGAGGATGTAGTAAAGAAGCGAAGGGATTTAAGAAGGCCAATGTGAAGGAGGCAATTACAGAATATTGAAGGGGTGTGGCCCAGCACAGGTTTTCTTTTATGTCTAAGAATATGCGTATCAAATTTGGTTCCAAACGGGTCAGCTTTTTAGTACAAATCGACAGACAGACCGACATTATCGAAATTTTGTTTGAATTGGATTCCTGATGCTTCAAAACGTGTATTTCCGTCAAGAAGGTAGGGGATGATTTTGTACCCCAATGGAATAGCTCTCTCTTATTAGCGTACGGGTGGTAAAAATGAAGGAACGCGAAAAATGCGTAAAAAAAATAGGTTAGGAAACTATGAAGGAAGCAACATGTAAGGAAACGTGAAGGGGTCTTAAAATTCGCTTGAAACAAGTGTGTAGGAAATAAACATAGAAGAAAAGTGCGCCAAACGGAAGCTCGAAAAAAGAAGACGGGAGAAAAGAAAGCGTGAAAGGAAAGGAATAATGCAGCGAGATCGTGAAGTAGACACGACAGAATTAAAGAATCGTAAAAATGTAGCGGCAAGGAGATGCGTTAGGAAAAGATATGTTATGAAAAGGAGGAGACTGACGGGAGAGTAAAAGCAGGATGCCTAAATTAAAGAAATGTTAACGATTGAGAAGAATGTACGTAAAACGAGGAAGAAAAAGTAAAAATGTTGCAAATGAGGAAAATATCATGAAGGAGGCGAAACGAGCATAAAGTGTACTCGTAATGGTGAAGAAGGCGTAAAATAAGGAAGAGGATGCATGAAAAAAGTCTGAAAATAGTATGAGTAGGAAGATTAGAAGGAGAGGTCGTGAAAGTGATATGAGGATACGCAAAAAAGAAGCGCGGAGGGGCAGGAAGTACAAACGAATTTTGAAAGTTTCATCCATAGATTAAAGAGTGAGGGCGTAAAAAAGCGTGAAAGGGATCTGAAAGATGCATTAAAAAAGTATACGTTAAATAGGGGGTGGTAGCGGTGAAAGGAGGATGTTATACGGTAACGGGGGGATAACATATGAAGCAGGCTGGAGAAACTGTCGCGCATCAGGAAGCATGCGCAGGTATCGTGATGGAAGCGTGCAGGAAACAAAACGGACATGTCATGGAGATGTAAGTGAAAGACAGTGAAGGATGTTAGGAAGGAGGCCTAGAGCAGTGAAGCGTTAAAAAATAAATGTTATGAGCCTAGAAGGCGCGAAGGAGTTGCAAACGAGGCGTAAATTTGACATAAAGGACGCGTCAACGAACTAGGAGGTGGATGCGATCAATGCGTTAACAGGATACGGGAGGGGGAGGGGGGCGATAGATGGGTGCAGGAGAGCCGAAGAAAACTGATGAAAGTAAAAGGGTGGAAACATGAAAAAGTTGTGAAGGAAGCATATGGAGGTGTAAAGATGACTAGTGGACATTATTAACACTTGAAGCCCCAAGCTTTGTTACACGCCCCCACGAGAAGTCAATTTACCCTATATGTATTTCAACTCAATTTTGTGTTTCCGATAGTGTTTTTGCATGGTGTACTACATTATATTGAAGTTATTTAATTATCGTTACTACTTATATGTTTGTCATTTCTTAAAATATATTTGTTGTTTACCATATACGGTGTGTTCGAGATAAGAGGGTCACCTCAATATCTCTTTTAATTGGGGAAATATGAAGAATTTGCAAAATATAATTTTGTATGTGACCTTATGATTTCTCCGATCGCATATTGAAACTTCCGGTACCACTTCCGGTTTGGCAGAAATTGGAGGCCACTTTTGTTTTTCAAATGCAATGTCTACGTTTTTTTTAAATATTTGAAAAGAGGAATCAATTAGCTGTACGACAACACAAAATACAGTCTGTATAATAGATCTTTGATCGCGTATGTTTCGAAACAAGCACGCAGTGTTCTGTTTCAGTCGTTAGCGTATAAATCAGAACTTTTTTAAATTTTATTTTGCTTTTATTTTTGAGTGGGCGGGATTTCAGCCAAGGTTGCTCTACCAAACCTAACCTACTATTCATTTACAAATATCCATGCCCGAACCCGGATTCGAACCAGGGACCCTTAGCACAACAGTTCAGCTTTATTTTATTTATTTATTTTATTTTTATTTATTTATGATAACTTGATGCGTGCCTGCATTGATTTCATTTCATACCGATCGGCTTTTGATGCCGGTCAAAGATCCATTATACAAACTGTATGTACAAAACAATGGAGACATTTGTGATTCAGTATTTAGAAAACATGTATTTAACATGCCGTGTGCTGTCGGGATGCGTATGCCTTTTTATTTAATTAATCTACTCCCCAAATAAGAAAAAGTCATAAAGCCACAAACTTCTATTGCCAAAAATAAGGGCGATTTATAAATTTAAATCTTTAATGTGGTCAATTGACCCTTTCTGGGGCTTCTAGTGTTAAGGAGGCGTATACATTGGAGACGTGAAGAAAGAGACTTGAAAAAGCAACAGTGTAAAACAGAGAACTGGCAGATAAAGTGGAGCCATATCACTCCACCAATCCAATAACTACAACTTACAGTCATATGCAAAGGATCCTTCTTCAGTTGTGTGCCCAATTATGTGCGGTACTTTCGCAAATTTCCCTTCATCTAGCAATTTAAACGCTCTTTCCGTAATAAAAGCAGTGGGTCCCTCGGCCTCAACGCTTGGTGCAAATGAATGGGCATCGTACGGTATGAAATCACCCTGGAATACCTTAACGTAGAAATTTGGACCTAAACGTAAACACGCATACCATGATTGACTTGTTGTACACGGTTTTTACTAAAACCCTATAGTCTACACGCCGAAGCTCTTCCACAATAATGCTGGTATTGTCAGAGTCTATCCCTAAACCTTTTGCTAACCTGCGCATTTTTTCCAGCGGGTTTCGTTGCAACGCCCATCGATTTAGAGGTGTTCCACTTAAACTAATCGCTCTGTGAAAGAGACCTGAATTGCGTAAAATTGGCGTAGATTCTTGTGTAACGCGCACCTTGGCTTTTTGGCGACAAACAGTGGAGTATTACGGATGCCGCTCCTGCACTTGCACCAGAAATCGTAACTCGATTAGGATCCCCGCCGAAGTTCTTGACGTTGCGCTGTATCCAGTGAAGCGCGAGCAGTTGATCCTTGAGGCCAAAGTTACCGGTGGCGCATTCATCTGTGGTACTGAGAAAACCGAAGATATTAAGCCGGTATTGTACGTTAATGTAGACGACTGGTTTCTCCACGAAGTAATCTGGTCCACTAACATGTGGGGCCCCGAAAACGAAAGTTCCTCCATGGATCCACAGCAGGACTGGTAGCAATTCCTTTGATCCGTTTCGTGACTGTGTTCGGTATTGAATTAATGTGGTGAAACTGACGAGTAACTTACGGTGAGGGGTTCCGAAATTTCGAGATAAAGACAGTCTTCGCTTCCGAGAACGGCAAGTGTTAAAAAATATTGATCAGGTTGCGCGCAACGATCGGGGAGTTTTGTTGCGTTTCTTACTCCCTGCCATGCTTCGTGTTTGACGGGTTCCTGTAACGATTTTGCTATCGAAAAATTTCAAAGTAGGCAGTACCTGGAAACGTAAATGGCCTATCGGTGGGCTTGCGTAGGGCACGCTCATGAAGCTGTAATACTGGACATTTTGGTCAATTTCACTGGTTTTCAGTTCGCCACGAATCAAGCCGTATTCAGTACTTCTTATCACTTCTGGTGTAGCCTAAAAATTGATGGCTTTATTGCACACACTTAATCACTTAATACCAACAGAATAACATAGGCCCAGCATAAGCAGCACTAGGATCACGTAGAAGTGACAATTCATCGCTTATGTTTTCAACACTAATTTAATGTAAAGCAACTCTAGGATATCGCTATCGTGATTTTATCTAGTGAATAGTTGTACTTTACCCAGTCAAAACGTGTTGAAATACATACGAAGAAAAACTATATCTATTTGGCAAGAAATCCTAATCCATTATGGGACTTGAAGTTTACTATGATCGAGATCCAATTAGGAAAATTCGTGTTTCATAATTAAGACAAGGTCTACTTTTGTATTTCAATAATTTCGTCGTCCAAGATGCTTGTAAATGCAATGTCTTAACTTCGACGCTGCCTATAAAAGGAAAAGTCGTAAAATATTAAAAAAAACATGATTTCTTAATATTAAGTCTTAAAATAAAGTCACCAAAACATGCCTTAATGGCTAACATACAAAATTTATGTAAATCAATGATGTCTCTGCATGTAACCAGTTGGAGCGAACAAAACTGTCACAACAAAACAATTATGTTTATTACTCCCTACCAAGCTTGCACAATGGGATGATAATAACAGTTTACGTCCGGCAACAAAGCGACCCAGAGAGGTACGGAGATGAATGGTAATATCTCTTTTCAGCAAGTGCCGTTTGTTTTCACATTTTAGAAAATTAATGAATGTCGTTTGTGGACATAAACCCGCGTGTGGATGACCTTTTGGTGCTCATAAAAACGAAAAGGTTTAATATTATCGGTGGGATGTCTTTTTAGTAGCGCGCCGTGATATCGGCCACTCATTTGCTTCTGAGTGATTTTTCTGGTACCATTCGTGTAACCTGTGTAGTTGTCCAATTTTAGAGAATTTACAGTTTTATTTACTTGTTCGGAATTAACACAGATGTTTTATATTTAACTTTCTTTGAGAAACTATAAATGTTCCTTCGTGTAGCTGGTTATATAAAGATAATTGCGTAACCACGAAACACTAATGTTGGTAGATTCACCTCTGTGTTTTGGGGTTTCAGTCTTCACAGAGAAATTGAGGCCATTCATTCTTTATACGCCACCAGAGCAATTATTTATTAAAGTCTATTGTAATAACTATTACATCAAAGAAAAATTGCAGTTTTGAAAAAAGAGGTAGCTAGGATAATTCTACAACACTGTAGTCAACTGTTAAATATTAACAGCACTAAGTTGAGAAATCACAATTTTTTCAGTTTACACTAGTTCTAGTTATATAAAGTATGTGCTTAATTTGTGCAGCTATGTCCGTTAATTATTTATCAGCAATAATTAAACTGAAATATACGTTTTAGGAGCACAAATTTAAAATTATGTGCGTGTTTTCCCAAATAACACAAGTACGTACCTTGCAAATACATTACGTACAGCGCTGGATTTACGGACGTACAGTTTATGTAAAATTACAGCTAATGTACGTACATTTCACGTAAATGTCTAGGTACGTACTTTGCCGTACGTACATTAGACGTACTTATGTTCGTATCATGTATTAACGTACGTAATACATACTTTTCAGCACATACATAGTACATACTTTTAGTAGAAAAAATTACGTGCCACGTACATGAATCAGACGTACATATTTGTCCCATGGACGTACGTACGTAAAATGGAACGAAAATGTACGTACAGTGGACAATGCGTGCTAGAGTCTTCTATGAGCACTATGCTGCCGATATTCATTTACCGGAAACCATTGTTCCTTAAATTTCTCCTCAACCTTCCATAAAATGTTTGCAAGTTTTTGTTAGGTTCCTTAAGGCCTCGATCTACTCCAAATTTTCTTCACGTTCTCCTCAAACTACTCCCAGTTTAGTCTTAAATAACTCCCGTCAATTTTCTGTCAAATCTTTTCAAGACATTTCATCAATTTCGTTCAAGTTCATATCAAGTTCAAGCTCTCCTCGAAATTATCACAAATTCTCACCACATGATAGCCTCAAGTTTTACTCAAATTCCTCTTAAACATCTCTTAACTCCCTCTGAGATTATTTATTCAAGATGCCCTCCAGTAACCTCCAAGATTAACCTCAAATTCCTTTCAAAGGGACTAATGTACCATTACATTTCTGTAGATTGTTCGGCATTTATTTCCCAATCGGCGAGCAAATGGAGGCTTTTTTGGGATTCGGTTAAAAAGTTCACCTAATTTTTTACGCTAGTAAGAATGGTGCAACCTGAAATTGAACCAAGTTGTGAATGGATATTAAATTTACCAAACCGGGGCACCGGAAACGGGTCTGGAAATTTCAAAACTTAAAAGTATACACACTTACCCTCAGACGGCCTGTCTTCGGTTGGAGAAATTGTTTTTTCTTTGAAGGTTCACGGCCCAGGATTTCCATCGATGCCAAAGTAATTATTAGTGAAGTTCGCGTTCGTATGTGATAAATTTACAATTTCTATACTGTGTGTCCTATTTTGGTAGTGGGCCATCGATTCATGGAGATTTTTTTTGTTTATTGTATTCATACTAACTAACACAACCAATACCAATGAATAAATATGGCTGACAGTAAAAAATTTGTAACGAAAATGTATCAAAATAGAAAAATAATACTTTATTTATTTTTGTTAGAAATTTTCAGGGAAATTTTATAAAAGAAAATATTTTATTAAATTTCCAGAACGACAAGAGCCAGATTGTGCTACGGTAGTGCGTCTAAAAACTAATTTGCTACGTTTTGGCAGGTATTCTAAACCTATTAAAAATCATGAACAAGGGAACGAACCTGGCAAAATAAATGTTTTAGCTTGTGTAGAAGCAAGGTCACAAATTTCGTGCAGAAAAATAGAAGATGAGGTAGGATTTTCTAAAATGACGGTTCCAAAAATTTTGAAAAAATGTAAACCATATAAAGTCAATATTGTATTGCTAACAAAATCAACATATCATTTTCGAACCGGTTGGGTTTCAGTGTATCATATTTTGGGCACTAAAATTGTATATTCCATTTTTGACGGTGGCTTAACTACCATTTTGTACCTTGCAATAGTGCAAACCAAATTGCCAGAATATATAGTCGTCCTAATGAAGATTGGCTTGGAGGTACGGTCATTGACAAAAGTAATGACCGTCTGGTCCTCCAGCGGCTTTGTTCATCTTCTAAATCACAATTAAATACGCGTTAACGTACTTGCAAGGTTGTAAGCCTGTGATGATTGGTGTTTCTTTTGAATAATTGAGAATGCCGAGGAACATTATTTTAGTCAGTGGCTGCACATTCGTCCATGTATTTTTCGTCTAAAAATTTGCTTGCCGAACATTTCCCACTACTCGATCGTGACGTTTTCTAAACGCGAATTATTCTTAGGACGAGTACCCTTTGGAGAACTTCTTGCGTGCTAATTTTCTAAGGGTTAACAAGCATGGGCGACTTTTGCGAGTATTCTTGGACCTGCGGCCAATACTTTGAAGACTAGTTTTTCGGAGATGGAGAAGAAGGAGGCGAATATTTTGAGGTAGATTTATTATTATTCATTCGGCGAGTATAATGGCAACAAATTATCTGTGAATTTGGAGAGTGTGATTTTATGTAGCGTATACTCCAGGGGTAAAGATTTCGGGGGTGAACTAATTTTAGCGTCAACTTCTTCGAGGACTAATTCTGATGTGAAGATTTTGAATACGACAGCTAATTAAATGTGTCATGGAGTCCCATATTTTGAAGATGGTTAAGGTTGGTAAATTTCGGGGATTCACATATTCCAAGGATTATTTTTTTTAATGGATTCTTTCGTGTTTTCGTTTAATGAGTTCTCCAGGGGCAAATTTTTCGGGTTCCAAAATTACCCGGAGGCTAGTTTTTATCATCCGAGAATTTTCTTCATCCAAGATTTTTCAGGAGTGTAGGTATGTTTCGGAGACAAACATTTCGTGGGGAAAAAATCTATTGATGCAGATATTAAGACGAAAATAGAGTTGTTGTTGTTGACACAAAACCTTCCCCCTGAAACTTTATTTATGAAATAATATTCCGACTAGTTTTGGCAATAGTTATTTACATAAAAGTCAGGAAAACGACACATTACTGGTGAGGAAACATTGAAGTGCGAGGCCCCTTTGGGGACGAGTACTTTAATTTCCGAGTCAGGTAATGTCATTTTACTGACGAGTTTTGTATTAAATTTTACCCTAAATCGTATTTTAATATAAAATTTTTCTTTTGATTAATGTCAATATGTCGGTGATGACAGGAGTCATTATAGACATTTAGCAATGTCACAGATGCGTCCGGTAAAGTGACAAACGGCAAGAAACCTAGTCTACTCTGCCTCATGGAAAGTAAAATTTCCTGACAGAAAGTAGTCCTGAAAATGGACGATTTTGGGTAAAAGTCATTATCAAGTAGTTCTGTTGCCGAACTAGTCGTAAAATTGTTTCATAAATAATGTTTAATGGAGAAGGTTTCGTGTCAACTTTAAACAAACCTTATTCATCCCACCAGGTCTGTGAAGTTGACGGCACCCAAACCAATTTCTTTACATTTATAGGTGGAATTCATTTGTTTATCGTTTGTTTAGGTTTGTTCAGCCATTTTTGACGTTTGTTTAGGTTGGCGTCTAACGAAAAGCAATATAGGTTATGGGTGCCGCCAGGCGCCAGCTTCACGTCAGCGGCACCCATGGTGGGATTTTGCACTTTTATTGATTGCAATCGTTTGTTTATCGTTTGTTTAGGTTTGTTCAGCCATTTTTGACGTTTGTTTAGGTTGGCGTCTAACGAAAATCAAAATAGGTTATGGGTGCCGCCAGCTTCACGTCAGCGCCACCCATGGTGGGATTTTGCACTTTTATTGATTGCAATCGTTTGTTTATCCTTTGTTTAGGTTTGTTCAGCCATTTTTGACGTTTGTTTAGGTTGGCGGCTAACGAAAATCAAAATAGGTTATGGGTGCCGCCAGCTTCACGTCAGCGGCACCCATGGTGGGATTTTGCTCTTTTATTGATTGCAATTGTTTGTTTATTGTTTGTTTAGGTTTGTTCAGCCATTTTTGACTTTTGTTTAGGTTGGCGTCTAACGAAAATCAAAAATGGTTTAGGGTGCCGCCAGCTTCACGTCAGCGGCACCCATGGTGGGATTCTGGACTTTAATTGATTGCAATCATTTGTTTATCGTTTGTTTAGTTATTTCTGACGTTTGTTTAGGTCGGTGTTTTACGAAAATCGATATGGGTTTTGGTTTGATTACAAAAGTGAAGAATTTGTTATTACCAAAAAGCGAGACAGGGATAGTTGTGACAGCAATGAAACCGACCTATGTTCAATCGTCGGGGACGAAGATTTGGCTCCTAATGATTTACGGTGCAGCGAAAATTGGAGAAACAAGATAGGCAAAAAA